AGTCTAACGTTCCAAACGGTAGAGCAAGTTAGTCACGCAAGACCTGCCACTTCGGAACCCATGCCGCGCATCAGATAATAGATTATGCTGCTCAAGGAAGCGCATTAGCTCTCGCTTAAATATTTTTGTCATGATTTTGCATCAGATGGAGGTGAGGCTAACTGGTTTGTAATTATTTGCAAAGGCCTTTCTGCCTCCTTTATACGGTGGTGTGATCTGCGCAGATTTCCAGTCGGCGGGTAAACATTCGGCTTCGAACTAGGCTTGAAAAAGCATGGACAATGGTTTCGCTAGTTCAGCAGCGAGCTCATTCAGTAACTTAGGCGGTATGCCGTCTGGGCCTGGTGAATTCGACTCATGTAGCGTCATTAGCGCTTTGCGAAAAGTCGCTTCATCAAAAAATACAGACTCACTTGTTGGACACTCATCGAGTTCGTAGTCTGGGAGAGTCAATGCGCTTTCACTCGTAAAGTTGGTTTTAAAAAACTGTGAAAGACGCTCAACTTTTTCTCTATCCTCACTAATCTCTACGTCTCCGATAGCCTTCAGGGGGGGGGGGTGGGATCTCTGTTTCTTGTGCTGTTTCTTATATATCTGTAGAATAATTTCATATTTTCCGTAACACGATTCAGTAGATCTTCTTTAAGATGTTGCCGTGTCCTTAGGGTAAGTCGCTTGACTAGGTTCCTATCTGCTTTGTATGCGTTTATGGGCACAGGATGTCCGTCAGTGAGAGATTTTTGCCACAATCTCCGCTTTTTATTTACTTCTTTTTTAACGCCTGAGTCAGCCACCGGGGTCGATTGTTTAGCCTCTTCCGTGAAAGCGAGCGGTGGTTTCTCAGGAAAACATGCAATAACTCACTGAACCATTTTCACTCCTCCTCTATATTTCCGGAAATAGCTGATTACCACTCTATATTGTTAATTTTAGCCTTCATTTGCTCAAATTCCTCACGCCAAATATTTCTTCTAATTCAGGTGGGTTATTCAGGCACGGAAAGGATTGAATAGTCCCCGTGAAGTACAACGTGATCGCTTCGGCCTAGGGGTGACAGACATTGCACCTCAACTATGCTGTCCAGCGATTTCGTGAGCACCAGGTCCAAACTGCTGCCCCTCACGCACCCTCGTTGGAAATAGGACGTGCTGAGTGAGAAATGACCTGTGTGCCACGTCCAAGAAACATCGGTCGAAAGCTAGTTCTGGGCCGCGCCCGTATAGTGAACTCCAGTCAATGAGCGGTACATTAAAGTCGCCCATGAGCAGGACGTCAGGCCGGAGAGCACATCGTCCTAACTCCCCTAACAAACGAGCGTCAGTCTCGTAGTCACTCCTCGGTGGTCGATAGACAGTCAGAATTCCAAGGCTATGTGATCCTAGTACCCTAATTGTGCGCCAGATCATCTCGGCGTTGCGCGCAAAATGCTCTGTTTTTTCCCGACACAAGCAGACCGTGTTTTACGTAAGTGACGGCTCCTCCTCCCTGACGCCCTGGTAGCACTAATTTTCGGTCATCTAGGTTTCCAGACAGCCATGTTTCTGTCAAAAAACAACGTCGAGGAAAGGTCACAGATGTGGATCTTCAGTTCGTCTAACTTGGGCAGTATACACTGCACGTTGGTGGAAAATGTTAGTTTCTGAGTTTTGGGGTGTTTCCTTATGGTGCCGATTGAGTTTCCATTTAAGGAACCTATTGTGCCCTCATTCGGATCGATTCCGTCCAACGACTTAAGGGAGGGCGCTGTATTATCTGGTCGTTGTAGATCACGAGATTCATCTCGCCATTCTGCAATCTTGTTCTCAGTTACAGAACTATTTCTCTCTGACGGCGTGTGATCCGGCTGAAAAAACGCCATGGTTGGTGTGTTTGATTCGGAATCGTCCTGAAAGAATAAGTCCTACTTGTTCTTGGTTAGTCAACACAACCTTGAGTAACCGGGGACGTTTATGCTCTGTTTTGTCGATTGAGCGCTTTCCAAGTCTAAAGGCCTTGAGCACCGAAACTTTCTCGTTGGGCCGCAGACGTTCGCTGAGTAGACATAGGAAGAGTTGCAGGTCTGCCGAGGCCCGCTCTCTGAAGGCACTGACGATGGATTCGGGAAATCCCTGAATGATCAGACATTGCCCTCCACGCGGCAAATCTCGCAAGATCACAGTGGTTTCGTGCCCCGACAAAGGTAATGTCTGGTTGGCATGAGCTGACGATGATATAAGCCTCAGTCGATTTAAATCCTCATTCGTCTCTGTTTCATTGGCATTATCATCGAACTCGAAAGTGTTTGTGATAGCGTAAGGGCTTTAGGACCCACGCCGTTTCCTGTGATAGGCGATATGGTCGCTGATGTCCCTGGTTCCAGTTCTTCGGAGGCATTCCTCGGAATCAGTTGTCCGTTTTTCTTGGACTTTTTGCTGCAAGATTTCCTTTTCTCTTCTTGTTTCCTTTCGCTTCTTCGCTGGTCGTTTTCGTCTTGTATTTTAACTGTTTGGGCAATGGCTGCCATGACAGCTACGGAAGGTGTTGCTGGCATGCCTATTGTGCAAAGTCCTTTGGCACTACTTCTATTTATATTTCATATCGTCGACTGTGTCTAGTCTAGGCGGTTGATTTAACTGGCCAAGACCTGGTGTCCGCTGCAAAATCGATCGGTATGCGCTACGCCTATGCTATCCAGTAAACTTTGCGACAATACTCGCCGACGTGCCGATGTAGCTAAGGGGTTATCTTGCACAAGTTAAGTGTTGGTGGTCGGTGGATCGACCCCGTCATGTGCGGTACCATTCTGGGGCGGGGAGGGACAGTGCACATCTCCATTACACAGTTGACTTATGAAAAATGGAAAAATCTCCAGAATAACAAACTTTTCCTAAAGCACGACTGTAGACACGGTCTATGTTTATGTTGGGTATCCCGAAAATTTCCAGAATGAGAGACTTAGGGAACGTTTTTTCAAGTAAGCCTATGTTTGATAAAGTGACAGTTCGTATTGACCCAACTGTCAAAAACGTGGCGCCTCGGTGACAGTTTTCTAAAATTTAAGCAGCACAGCAAGCAATGTTGAAATATCGACTCAGCCCTTTTGAAGATGCTACTTCCAACTTCGGCGAGCAGTTGGTGACGGTGCATTGGATGGATAGGCACTGATAGAAAGACCTCATTGCTGAATTTTTTTCTCATCGAACAATAAGAGTATTGATGGTGTTCGCCAGAGGATCGTAGTCAGAATTGCGTTATATAATCCACTATTTAAAGAAGGGCAGTCGTTTTCAGCGAAAAGACTCGATTGAAAAATTTCCTTCTTGCAGCTCAAAATTCAAACCGCGCGCGCTGGTTTTGAACCTTTATACGCCTTGAAATTTGCATTAAAACAGAGAAAGGACTTCAGAATCCGAGGGTTAATGCTTACATTGGTGGTAAAATCTTAGTTTTATTTCCAGAACGAAACTGCTATGCGACAAGAAAAACACCCCAGGACGGTTTTGCATTGTAACAATCCACCTAGTCGTCATCAGCGCGGCCGTCTGCTCATGCTGCCTCGCGCACCCTAACGAGTGGTGACCCCGACGTGATGTGATTATCGACAGCACGAAAATTCACAAATCAGAAGTCAGTTACGGCGGAGTTACTGGGACGAATTTTACCGCAGCAAGAGAGGGAGAGGTAGCACATGGGCAACTCAGCAGGAACCGGCAGTAGGTGACATCCTAAACGAATTATCAGCCATTGGGATCATATCCCCGCGCGAAGTGCGTGCGTGCACCTAGGCTTTGTCTGCCTACAGCCAACCAGCGTAGGACGCCACCCTGATTGGCCTCAGGCCCTCATCACGTCCTGTTCAAACAATCGATTTCCAGGAAGCGTGAGGCTGATTGAATGCGCTATGAGTAAGCGGCAATCAGTAGATCGGACCGACACATCATAAATACGACCTACCCAGGAAAATAGTTTAAGCTTATTGATTAAGCCTGCTTCTGTGCACTTAATGGAGCGTTATTGAAGAGCGTAGCTTTTGAAAGAGTAGAGGCTGGAACTTTCAGCTGAGTCAAAGCATGTGAGGCTGTGTTGAAACTGAAAAATAATTCTATCCACTAACGTGAGCTACATTTCGAGGGCGACGAGAAATATGGCTCGATGTTTTCAACGCGTGCCTTTGCAGTAAACTTTACAAATGTGTGAAAACACATAAGATCATCAATGCAAATGAGAGCTTTCTTAAAACCTAATTATGCTATTTCTTCGAGTATAAAATACGAAGATGACGTGATTCTCCATCAAACAACTGAAAGAAAGCTTTTTTGATTGTGGTTTCTATAAAATATATTTGAATTTGTAAGACCATCGAGGATCAATGGAAAAATGCATGCTAATTAAGTAGTTATTTTTTACCGAGTACGGTTTGTACAGGAGATTGGAAAGCAGTGTATTCAAAAGCTGAACTTCTGTCAAATTCGAAATATTATAGGATTTTTACGCAAGATCATCAGTATTACAACCGCGTCCAATTAATTCTTCCTAATCGAAAACGCATCTCAGAATTTCAGCAAACATCGTATGAGATAGGTCACTAACTGTAGCTTGAGCCTAAGCCCTATTCCTAACAACAACCCCCTCTGAAGTTTAACACAAAGTCACTCGTAGCCTACCGACCGCTGGAGGACTAGCGGCTGCCAAATTTGCGAACGAGATTCTCCTAATCAGTATCCACATATGAACCTATATATGGACCACCATGTCACAGGCACTCTTCTCTGCGCCTCGTAAATAGCGATGGCCTCCTTACAGCAGAAGGGAAGCGGATTAAATTAGCCATGAGTCAAGATACGTTTGATTGGTCCCTTCATATGGTAAACAAGCCAGTTATCGAACACTCATTGCGCGCACGCCGTTGTGATCTCAGTTGGTGGGAGTTGAGCGGATGTTTGTGCAAAAGGTAACCCTCAAACTATTTTCTCCGACGGATTAAGACGTATACACACTCTCACTTTTTTCCGCACTTCAATATGCCGTTCCCTCGGCGGGTTGGTCAAGGGGCTTCCACGGTCCTGGTGCTTATATCTCTCGGATTTCTGACGCCGTCTTTGTCAGAGGGTAAGTATTTTCCTGATCGACATCGACGCTTTTCTTGTCGTTTGAAACTGCGAAGCTACGGCTGACATAAGTTCAATAAAATGCTCTAGGCGTCTGAACAAGACAAAAACTTGTGCAGATTGGTTTGAAAAGCAATGCCTATCCCTTTTCCTTAGAATGTTATCTCAATTTACAGTGGCCAGACCACCTCATGAAACGTAAATCGGAAGCCCAAAAAAGCGATTTCAATTAGAAAGGACTGCTCAGGTGAAGTTGTGGTATCGATTATCGTGTAGCATACTCCAAAAATCTCCTAGTCACGGCAGGATGCGTCTTTCGAATGAGTTTTTGAACAGTTGAGGCTATCCCCTGGCAGACATCTCTGTTATCCCCCAATCCATTCCCAGTTGATCTACGTTTTCTATTTCTCCGCTCTAGGGTACAACTGTCAGTTATCATTACTTGACTAGATTTCGCAAGTACATAAATCAGCACACGATCTACAGTCTACCGACAGTTAATTGGGTCCTTCATCCAACCGTTTTTTTCTGGCCGTCTGCATTGACTACGCTAGTTAAAAAATGACAACCTATGTGGTATGATCCTTTCTACTGACTTTAATTGCCCTTACAGATTCAACTATGGAATGGACGATTAAGATATATTTTATCGAAAACAAATAAAGAGTCTTTATTAAACTCCTTTGGTGGCAAATTACGTCGTCCTCGAGTTCTAAAATTGAAGAAAATATTTTTTGGATTTCAAGAACGCTTTTTCAGTTCGCGGATAATTGCGAACCCGACATGTCGTAAAACTTGCGCTTAGGTTTTACATAACCCATGTTGTATTCATTCCATTCAGGCAAAGTTATTTGTCTTTCTCGACGCTTCTGCCATAAAACTTCTTAACGGTTGTAGACTAGGGTCTAAACTTCAAAAACAGCATTACTAAACGGACAAATACGATGTGAATGAATGCACATTAAATGATTTTGAAATTGGAAATTTTTTATATCCAAAAAATACCCATTTTATCGAAAACTGACTTCTGCCAGTCACTACGATTTGATTAGAGGCAAGGGCAGTTTAGAGGGCTTTGAAACACACTTTCATTCTTTTGGATTACTCTAGCGGGTCCTAAGTCTGCGAATCTAGTGTGTAGAGACAGTCATAACGCGAATTATCTTCTAAACGAAACACTGCGACAAGTTTTTTGTTGAGGAGCTGTGTCACACAGCGGCGGAATAACGGCAAAACACGTCTCTGGGTCTCTAACTAGCACTTATGTCGGAAGTTAGGTATAGTAACTTTGCCCTATATGTATATGCATGTATTCTCCCACGTACGAGAGAAATCGTAGGAGGCATAAATCCAATGTCCGATATTTGATGTCCCTCTGTATCTTTCATTTTCAGTTTCATATCTCGTCGTTTTTAACCCTCCGCATATTTCAATTTAATTGTCTCTCCTCTTTCTTGGCTTTCCCTTTTCCTGATCTTCTTCCCTTTCGACCGTCATATTTCGATCCCTGGTGTTTTAATGACCGTCAACAGAGTAGACTAGGAGCGTTTTGTTGCGTAACAGCGGCAAGGATGGGAAATGAGAATGGGCGTCCCCAGTACCGTGCCGAATTCCAGAGGAGTGTCTATTCCCCTGTTCTTACCCTAACCCTGACTTTAACCTTGGCCGTAACCCCCCTCCCCTATCCCTTATGGAATTTAACGGAAGGCCAAGAGAGTGCCGCGGCATTCAACGACCAGTGCTGTTCTTTGAATGGTTTCGTTGATCCGCTGGTCTGTCCCCTGCATGCAAAGTTGTTTATTTGCTTTGGGCCTGGATCCGTCAGTCAGTAGGTCGACTGACGACGTCGGCGCTGCCGCTTTATGCCTGGAAAGGTTCTTTTTTATCGCTAGCAACGTTATGCGCAGTCTCTTGCTCGAAGGTAGCTTGTTGGTTTGCGATATTTTTTTAACCTCAATGGTCACTCAATAAAATTATTTTTGTCTCGTCTGCTTCCTACAAGTTCACTCTTTATACCTTAAGCATTTTTTGAGGGCGGGGATGGGGGTGGAGGTTGTTTGGTTATTTGATTTTGCGTCTTGCTGCCCGAAGCTTGTGGAATTCCTTTGCGCGGGTCTCCGAGAGCTTGTCTGCACACGAGAGGAATTTTTCTGCTTGTCTGCGACCTGATTTGCGTAACCATAATGCGTGGTTAGTCTCCTTTAAGGAGTTTCCGAGGGATTCATTCAGTAGAGCAGTGGGTATCGTCCTCCTCAGAATGGTTAACGTTAGTTTGAAGGCTACATGTTTCACGGGCGTGAGAATGCCTCTACACCGGAAAAAACCCTCGGAACATATGAAAATGACGAGAGAATTAGACGAGTTGTCAGAATAACCCTTACAAATGGGCAGGGGATTTTGACACGGTTGACAACACCTAAAATTGCCTATAGAAGCGAGGAGACGAGTCTCAGGAAGCACTCGTGAGGAAGTAGATGCGATCGCTGGGACAAGGCCAAAGTGCACGAGCGCTTCCGTATGTCAAGAACGTTTCGGAAGCTGTCGTCTGCCTTTTTACACCATTTGGGACTAGAGTTGCCCCCAGACCGGAGGTAACCATCAGCTAATTTTACCGAAGGACCCACGGACACGGCAAGAAACGTCCGGAATCTTTTATCGGATCTGATGCAGTTGCAGGCAAAGCATCTACGTCGGAGAAACCGGAAGACATACGTGCGTCGGCTACTGCGTCAGTTGGGCCACTGTGCCAAACATCCGCTGCGGTAACCCAGCCTCATCCGAAAGTGTACGACAGTGCAGGGTGTCTCCACTGCAAGAGCAAGTCATCTGAATTGAAGAATGTGATTCTTAGTATGTAAGATATGACAACTACCTGCATGCCGCTGCGTTTCGAATGGGATTCCTCCTGTCGGCTTCTCCGATTTTCGTCTTCTCTCCAAAGGCAAGGAGTTGACTATCAGTACCACAGGGTTGATCGTCTTAAGGCTGATGCCCTGGGTTCATTTGCACTCAAGCAATCTGTTGCGTCTGCATTACTGAGAGCTCCCTGACACTTCTTCTTCTTCTCCTCTTCCCCCTCCTCCTCATCCTCCCAATCCTCTCTTAGCCACCTATAGAGTAGAGGACCCATACCCCTGTCCGACTGCCGGGTCTCAGGAAATACGGTTCACCCTCATTTCCAAATTCTTCATCGATGCTGACTTGTACGGCACTGGCCTGACGAGAGTTTGTCTAAACATACGTTTATTAGACCGTCTTCTGTACCGGTGAATGCAGATTTTTGCGCAGTTGAGAAAATTCAGGAAACAAATTTTTATTAGCTTGTTCGGTGACTTAAGTTAAATAACCTATCACTGACGCACTTAACCCATGGAGCCACACTCCAGCTGCATTATGAGGGAAAAAACTTCACACATCTACGACAATCGCATACCAAAAGATAACCCTAGTACCCGTTAACTCGAAAGAAGTACCCCAATTAAAGGTAGATTCGAGTCTTCAAAATGAGCATTTTGACCCTCTTTTAGATCTGTCACATTAGAGACCGGTGACACACATTTACAGAACGAAGGTTGGCGGGTTTAAACTTCGTATGATTAGTAGTCTGCATCATCAAAATGCAAACAACGCCTGGCATATCATCCTTCATGCAGCCGAACCATTCATTCCTTACAGCCGCATGCAAAAATCACACTTTGTAAAAAATGACTACTTATGTCATATGAATCGCTTTCATTGACATTTGATGCCCTTAGAAATTCAATTATATTTTATGGAAAACATGCATATAAATACTCATCCTTTCACTCAGTTGGTAGAAACATGCGTCGTCTTTTAATTTTAAACTCGAAGGAAGTATATGAGTGGTTTTCAAAAAGTCTCCAAATATATGATTTCTTAATGCCGCGAAATGCCCGTTCAGAGGACATTGTGGTCACTTATGTCGCTTGTAAAGTTTACAATATTGCTCAAATACACTGTTAAATTTTATGAATTCCATATAGTCTCTTCTTAATACCGCAGAGGAATGTACGGTTTTCCGTACGCGGAAAATAAACGGGTTGTAGTTTGGGAATCCTAAATGCAAGTTTAACGGGTGGTCGCATGCATGTTGTCTACCAAATGAGTAAAAGAATGAATATTTTTATGCTTGTTTTCCATTAAATTTAGTTGAATTTATAAGCCTATCAAATATCAGTGAGAAAAATGCTACATAAGTAGTCGTTTTTACAGTGTGTGGTTTTTGCATACGGAAGGAAAGAAGTTTGTTCAAAAGCCGGCATCCGGAGAAAACTGAATTATTATTGAATTGTACTGCATTTTAATTAATTTTACAACCCCACTTAAGTAATCTTGTCGAAACGAAGACGCATTTCAGAATTTCGGCTAACATTTGGTTAGCACACTTGTTGTATATCCGTGGCCGACCGCTGTCAGGTAGTGGATCCGAAACTATGCAATTTAACAACGGTCAGCTGAGAGCTGTGCCAGTCATCTTTGTTTTAAACAAAATTCACTTTTCGCACTTCCGCACGAAAGTCACCTTTGCGGCTGTGCTCGATGGCAGCTTTAAATTCTGCACCGGAAAATTTTAATACCCTACATGTACTTCTGCCTTGCAGTAATGCCCCCACCGCGCCTGATATCAGCGTTCGCCATTTCCGGTACAGCAATAGTTGTGCACTGGGAGGAGGAGTTCGACGTTGCCAAGGCGCTCTACCTTGTCCGAGCCACCGCAGACGACCAGGTGGAGGCCACTTGTTCCTGCACAACGCCCTGTTCAAGCTGCACGCTGGTGGGCCTTCGAGTGGGTACAGTCTACAGTGTCAGTATGGAAGCCTGCAACGACGAGATGTGCACTCCCTCGGACTATGTTCTGTTTGCAACTACAGTACCCGGTGGTAGGTTGGTTTTCCCCCATGGTCTGCCAAGCCCGAGTGCAGGAACCTAGAAACTGGGTCACTACTGTCGCTGCATGGCCTTTAGGCGTTAGCATGCGCCTGCCAATCACCATGCGGCCTTGGGCCGTCAAAGCAGGTCGCAGATTGGCGCAGCTGCCTGACCTTGAAACGGTTGCTAATAAGCCTTCCACCTCTGGCTTACGTGTCGCCTATGGGGCGGGTGGGGATGCATGTGCGTATTCAACCTCATGGACAGCCAATCACTGGCGCTCCCCCCTGTCGAGGCACGCGCATCGAGAGCTCTTAAACTGCGCGGATTTCGGGGGATTTTATCATACTCATATCATAGGAAATGACGTTTTCTTCGAATTTTACAGTTTGTGGAAGGAAAACCGGGGACTCATAATGATAAAAAATGATTAGGGCGCTTACGTATAATATGCAATAATCAGATTAATCTGTATCGCTGTCAGAACGTGCATGGTGTCTGTATATAGTAGAGAATGTTTTTCGCATTAGTAGGTAGTCGTGGGATCACAGATATATGCTTTGAATTAATCGCACAGCATACGGAAAAAGAATCCGCAAACGCCTTCAAATGCGAGGACGCTAAACGCCTAAAATGCTTGCGAAAGGTCGTATTTTTGGACATTCTTTTCGACAAAAAAGAATCGGATTGTCTTAACATATGCAACATCGCAAAAGGAAAGAATCATTTAATTATAGATATCTTTTTTATGCAGAGCAATATTTTAGAAATTGGCTTAATTTTTCATTTTGATTTGTCTCGCTAATCCATCTAAGTCATTGTTTTTTCATTCAAAAGTTTGTTAAAACTTTCCCTGAAAACTTTGAGGGCAGCACTTAAAAATTACAGTAGATGTGCTCGTAAAGTTAAAAATATGGATCAAATCCACCGTCAAATTTTATAAACCCTATATAGTCCGTCTTTAGTACCGTAGAGGAATGTATGGTTTCCGTACGCGGAAAATGTACGGCTTGTAGTTTGGAAACCCTGAATCCCCGTGTAACGGTAGAGCAGGTTCAAAATTCTTCAGGAATTGGAAAAGTTTATAAATGCCAAATTATGCACATCCTTCGGACATGAGATTGGAAGAAGACGTAATTGTCTACCGAATGAGAAAATGAATAAATATTTTTATTCTTGTTTTTCATGAAATATAACTGGACTTTTAGAGGCATCGAAAATAAATGAGTAAAATTCGTGCTACTTAAGAAGTCTTTCTTTACAGAGTGTAGTTTGTGCGTGCAGTCCGAAGGAATTTAATTCGAAAGCCGGCATTCTGAAGTAATTGAAATAATATAGAATTATTGTGCAGGATGATTATTTTTACAGCACTACTTTATTAATCTTTTCGCAACAAAAGCGTATTTCGGAATTTCGATTGCCATTTCATGACTTAGCCCGCCTACTGTAAGTGCATCAGTTTGCGTGAGCCAGGCTGCGCCTATGAGTAGAACCAAATTTTTGGAAAATGCTCACGCTATTGCCAGTTAATCGTCCTTTTTGAACTTCTCTCCCTGTTTTTCAAGGCATTCAGGAAGGACAGCACCACATTGTACCTCTAAACCGCCAGGATCACGTGATGCACAACAGTTCCTCCTTTTAATTATTTAAAATTTTCATCTCACTGCTGCGGCAGCAGCAGAAGCTGCAGCCTTACAAGATGTGTAATTACAGAGCTTTAAGAAAATTCCCCCACTTCCCTTCTCCCCCCGACCTTCTACTGTGGTTTGCTCAATTTCTAGTTCCTGGTCCGCCCACGAATGTCTCAGTAGTTCTTCACAGCCCGACACAAGTGAAAATTCAGTGGGATCCTCCAGAAGTGACAAACGGTGAGATCGCCAACTACACGGCCGTCGTCCTCCAACCGTACCTGTACAAGTGTACCTTTCGTGGAAGTGACAATGGCTCCTGTATGCTCTACGACCTCATTGAAGGCATGACGTACTATGTGGGCGTCCGGGCCTGCAATCATCCCAATGAAAATGGCCATGGAGGTGGCTGTGGACAGTTGTCGCCTCGGATACCCTTCACCACATGGACAGGCTGTAAGTTGTCCCTTCCCGGCCGCCAGCTGTATCTCAGTGGTCACGTTCGGGACAAAGTTTCATTCCCTCGCGTAGGCCGCAAAAAACTAGTTTTGGGAGGGGTTGTCGTAAAAGTGGGCTTCTATCGCTGCTTCCACAGGCAGAAAACACTACGAATAGCGCCCCTCCGTCATCCTGGGGTGGAAGTCAAGAACGGCAGTAAAGAATGTCTGGTGAGGAGGCTCTGGCCCGGCCACTGTTTTAGCATGAATCTCCCCCTCCCCCCCCCGGCTCGGGCTTGACCCCACCCCGGAAGCATATTTTTTAATTTTGTTAGTAGCGCGCGTCTGATTGGGTGTGGTCAAAGGCGTTGGTTGGTTGCCTGAAGAGCACAGACTGGGCCCGAAACGGATGCAGCCCAGTCTCCCCCGAATTCATTGTGTTGCTTTGAAGGCTGTTTACATTGCCCGCTTATCAGTGAGCAAGCGGATCAATATGCGACCATCTCTGTCGCCAGACGACACTGGAATTTTGCCCGGAAACTCCAATCCCGCCAGTAAAGATTATTATAGCTTGCTAAGTTCTAATAAGCGCACACAAAACGTAAGAAAGGAACTACCGCTGTATTTTGGTTTGTTTTGCAGTTCATTCTGGAGAGGGCCGATTGTCATTCAAAAACATGTAAGAAATAGAAAAACATTTCTGGAACCCCACTGGGACAACGCACGGATCACAGATGAAATAAGACCAGCGGGTTTCTCGAAGTCGTCCGGGTGACTTGATTGCATCGAAATTTCGAATTACCAACGTCTACTGTCCCTTCAGAGCAGAAGGCAATTTGTAGCCGGCGTTGTGGAAAACTATGCGAAGTCACACTCTTTCTTGAGAACTAGGCTTCATAAAAGTCCTCTCCACTTTGGGCCAGTTTGCGACCATATACAGCAACAGGAAGCAGTGGAATCCATCATTGTGCCATGCAGCCATCCCTATGTGATTTCAATGACAAGTTCAAATGTAACTTTCATGATTATGAGTAAGGAAAAATTGACTGGTAGGCAAGCATTTGTTTAAGTTTCCAATCTTCTGAACTCGTGGAAGGGTCAATTGTCAGAGTTGGCGATAGCAGCAGAACAGTCAGCAACCATAGGTACCAATCAACCAGCAGTGAAACAAGTCTGCTGGTGACTGTGCGAGGCTCCGTTCGCCTGCTCCAGATCGATGATTCGATTCACTGAGTCCTCATACGAGTTGTGGAGTTGTCATTTTGCTATATGCTACCTCTGCTCTTGCCGCTAGTTCATTTTAATGGGATCTCTTGGGCCGAACGCAGAAGGTGCATTCGGCGATTCCAGTTAACTCCAGCCATCTTCAGGAGGTAAATCACACTCTACATCCGCGACAGTTTGACTGTCGATTTCGGCAATGTTCGCTATGTGCTCCACAACAGAGTAAGAGCAGGAACGGTGGCTTGTGCGTGGGTTAGTTTGTAGTGATAGCGGACTTGCGATGCATATGTCGAACCCTCCTCCACCTCCACCTGGATCCGGTGTCAAGACAGAGCCATGAAGACCAGAGGCGGTAGAGGGCGCGATGGCTGGCACGGAGTAAACCCTTACATAGACGTACCATCACACTCCCTGATAGAAGACAGACACTGCAAGTGGTCTCATAGCAACCAGTTGTTTCTCCTTCGCCGGGACCCACCTTCTACTTGACGCTGACTGGAATTGTGGTGTTTCACACTCTCCCTCCCCTCCCCTCCCTTAATCCGAGCCACAGCATAATTATCTACTTGCCCGTATCTTCTAGTCCATTATTCCAATAACCATTTGAATGTACAGGCCTGAAAAGAATTTATCGAAAGCAGACCTATGATCGCCAAATTGCCTTTTGAATTTTTCAATGGGAATTTTCGCAATACTAAAAGAGTCGTTTATTTCAACCAAAATGGGAATTTCGCGTGAATACCTTTGTACTCGTCGCTTTTTAGCGCAGACCCTGTCCAGTCGAATGTCTGACGTTTGGTTTTTTCTAAGCTGCGAACTGGGCTTTTTAATGGCTTGGTGATGCATCTTCTATCGACAAATTTCTTCCGACTGTGCGTGCTCTGCTGCAATTCCGCTGGACATGCGGGCATTACGATTTGGGGAGAAAGGCCAGTCGAATAGTTCGGACAGCTAAAATACGCAGCACCTCCAGTGCCATCTGGGTACCGGCTTTTGGTTTCGTCTGGCAATGTTTATCGCTGTAAAAGTGTCCGATCTTCTTCCTGAGAAGCGACTATTGCTCTCCTTTGCACAGTTCCCTAGACTAATCCCCTCGTTCTTCGTTCTTCTTCTTCTTCCCCTTCTTCTTCTTCTTCTTCTTCTTCACCTTCTTCCTCACCTTCTTCTCCTTCTTCTTCATCTTTTTCTTCCTCTTCTTCTTCGTTTTCTTCTTCACCATCTTCTTCTTCTTCCTCCTCTTCTTCTTCTTCTTCCTCTTCTTCTTTTTTATCGTCATCTCCTTCATCGTCCTCTCCCCATTCATGCAGGTCCTACAGTTGCCATAGTTCAAGGCAACCATGCCAGCCACACGCATGTAATTACTTTCGCGGGGACCCACCTTCTAATTGGAGCTGACTGGATTTGTGGTGTTTCATTCTGCCCGTACCCTCCCATCTTTAATTTCGAGCAACAACATAATTATCTACTTGCCCGTATCTTTTAGTTCGTTATTCCAATAACCATATGAATGCACAGGCCTGAAGAGAGTTCATCGAAAACAGACGTATGCTCGCCAAATTGCCTTTTGAATTTTTCAATGGGAATTTTCGCAATTCTAAAACAGTCGTTTATTTTATCCAAAATTGGAATTTCGCGTGAATACCTTTGTACTCGTCGCCGTTTAGCGCAGACCCTGTCCAGCCGAATATCTGACGTCACTAGAACGGAAGGTTAACCTTTTTCGAAGCTGCGAACCGAGCTTTTCAATTATTTGGTGATGCAGCTTTTAGCGAAAAATTCATTCTGACTGTGCGACTCTCAATTTCCCACACTATAATCCCGCCAGACATGCTGGCTTTACGATTTGGGGAGAAAGGCCAAAGGAGTAGTTCAGACAGCTGAAATACGCAGCGCCTCGAGGGACTTCGGCGTACCGGCTTTTGGTCTCGTCTGGCAATGTCTATCGCCGTAAACGTTTCTGATCTCCTTCCTGAGAAGCGACTCTTGCTCTCCTTTGCACAGTTACCTAGACTACTCCCCTCGGGCCTTCTTCTTCTTCTTCATCATCATCATCATCTTCGTCCTCTTCCAATTTAGATATTGAGAGCACAACTCTGAAGAAGTTGACCCCTCGCCTTGGCAGGCTACCCATGGTGCAGGAAACAACGCAAGCCATGATCATCTTGCCCTTTTCTGTCCTCGATTTGAATGTCACGGGGCCGTTTATGTCCGCCACCATCGTCGTGCATTCCGGTCACCGGCCGGCAAATGAGGAAGGCACTGAGCACTCTGAACTGCCATTCGAGAGGACAGGGCCATTGGAAGACCCAAAACATGAAATCGGCCCTGCACCAACCTATCCCATTGAAGGTGTAAGTCTCAGTTCTTGAGGACGTTTTGGCTACACGGTTTCCATACGGCTGGTGCCGGCGGTTGCCCATAGGGTCACCGAGACCTGTTAACGTCTTCAACATGTGCTCACTCTGTTGGGTTTTCTAGACTTACAGAAACAACACGAACGGAACCTGGGAAGTGCTGGTCATCAAGGAATTTCCAAACCGGACGCTTTCACTTCCAGATATGAACTTTGTCCTCGGCGACGGCCTTGGTCGGCCCAAGAAATCACACCTCTACAACGGTGCCCTGGAGCCAGGCACTGTGTACACGTATGTCCAAACGCATCGCAATCCTTTCCCTAACCCAACCCGCAAAGTTGTAGGCTTTCTGACCAATCTCACCCCTCTAGGCTGCGATCCCGCAGAGGGCAAAGTAGAAGGCTTTGGGTATCCACGCAGACTTGGCGTAATCCAGATGATAGAGTTTGTGGTTTTGCTGGGGTCCCAAGTGCGACTTGGACCACACGTGAGGTCTGCTTGTAATGACCGTCGCGGGGATTCAGGCAGTCATCTTGTAATAAAAATAAAATATTCCTGATTCCTCCGAGGGAGCCCCCCCCTGCCCGACAGTTGAACAGTTGATTCCAACGATGTCCACCACGTGCTACACAGCAAGGTGCAGCAGGCACGGTGACGTTTATAGTGACAGTGGACTTGCGAGGCACCTAGCGCACTCTCCCTCTTCCCCACTCCCACACCTCGACTCGGTGTGAAGACATAATCAAGATGACCGAAGGCGGGGGAGGGCACCGATGGCTGGCACAGCCCGACCCGCACCTAGACCTGCCACCACAACCCCTGGTCCACAACATTCAGGGGTCAGGAATCATTATCCTCTTCATCCTTAGCATTAGCATCATCGTTGCCCTCAAAATCATAATTCGGAGGTATGTTCCAGCATGATGACCGGTGACTGAGGAGGAGGTAAGCAGCGAATAGTGTAGGACCATAAATGAACCTTGAAAGATCGCATCTCCAGCGGTAGTCGACGCCGAACACCCAATCGCTAGTGATTGAGAGTGCGTGTTTCTCACCAACCCCACGAAACTGGATGTCACAGAAGTTGAAGATGGGATCACCGGAACGAGAAATTTTTTGGCCTGACGTTTTGGATTTTCCCTCAAAACCATCATCAGAGACATTCGCAGATAAAGGTGATGGTGGCACAAGGATTGCAGTATTTATAGCACGTGGCTGCCTAGGCACCATATGCGACACTGTAATTAACAGTTCTCGCAATTACCGCTGGGGTCGTACTTGGTGCTGTGGTGGCTTGTCGGTTCGATTCCTAGTCTTTAATGGCAGTGATTTCGTCATCCGTGCTGGATGCTGGTGCCACGATTGCTAGGCAAATTAGCTCACTGTCACTGGGATAATTGCTCGTCCGCGCCCTTCCCACGTGACTGATTTCCCTGCCCAGGGAAAATCTCAGAACGGAATATGGTACCTGGAGGTCATTGAGGCGCGGGTGAGCAATTATCCCAGTGACAGTGAGCCAACTTGCCGAGAAATCGTCATACCATCATCCAGCACGGATGACGAAATCACGGCCATTAACGACTCGGACTCGGACTGACAAGCCACCACCGCATCAGTTACTACGCCAGCGGTGATTGCGTGAGCTATTAATTACAGTGTCGCATATGGTTCCACGGCAGTCACGTGCTATAAATACTGAATTCCCTATGCCTTTATCTGCGAATGTCTCTGTTGATGGATTCAAGTGAGAATCCGAAACGTCAGGCCAATAAATTTCTCGTACCAGTGATCGTATCTTCATCTTCTGAACTGCTACCTGGAACTCGCCTGTTCGCTTCTATCTGGACGTTACAACTGATGGGATTGCTCAGATGCTCACGCGAGTCAGTCTGTTTAGAACAAGAAGAGCACTCTGTTGCTTTCCCACTCATCGTCCGAGGACTACAATTTCAGAATGGTATCACCGAAAAAGACTAGGGAGACTGGAATGGCCATTTCTGGCTTATTAGCGGCCGTCAGCCAGTCATACCCAAACCCGAGGTGTGGAACACCTGAGGCTCGATCCCGCGACCTGTTAGTTAGAAGTCCAACGCCTCTGACCACTGAGCCACGATATGGTTGTCCTGTCGGTTTCGATGAGGAATACACAATTGCTGAGGGACGCTCACCGATCGTTCTCACGGAACTCACTCACTTCTTTTTCAGACTACGGTTTTCTGGGAACACCACACACAACCCTGTCTGAGCCTCTAGCTGGAGTGCCCCTTAAATGCGACGCGTTACGAGGGCCAAAATACGGGTACATTAACTACTGCATGATGCTCAAAGGAGTCAACAAAATCCCTTTAATTCCAACCGTTCGGAAAAGTTTTTAAAGGTTGCACAGATGCACCTGGTACTTTATTGATGTTCTTCCTCTTACTCAACTCAATGATAGGATCGCTTGTCTCTAAGGTGATCAGCACATGTACACCGCTGTTTTGGAGAGCTTCTTAATCAAATTACCTGAGTACGTGAACTAACTAATTTCCCAACCCTATAAAAGGACATTGGGCCGCAAAAGATAAGATATTAGCAACGTTTGTTGAATATACGAGGTGGTAGAAAAGCTTCGTATCACGAGAACGCATGTACTGCCTTAAAAGGCCTGACTGCTAGATAGCACTGATTAAAGCGCGGTTTTACGGCGTTGCTCACTTACTGCGTTTCATCAAAACCATACTTAGTTCATATCCAAAATTTTGACAATGTGCCATTTATTGCATTCATTTCGTTACGATGTTTGCAACCTTTTCAGGGTCACACTGCGCCTCTACTTTCAAGACATCTACTTTGAATCTTCGCCGCTAGTCTTTCGGACGAAAAGTAGGTGCCCTAAGTTGCCTTTATTCTCTTAAATACCACCGAGGACACTGATTTCGTAGTTCTGCGGTTGGGCGTCCAGAAGCCGCGTGTAGCGTACGGAACCCTTGACTAAATTAGGACAAAGGTCTACTAGTTACATCGGCCAGTAACGACAGAATGAGACGTTATTTGTTGAGGGAAAGAAAGTGAGAGTGAGAAGTGGAGAATGGGGAAATTATGCCTAAATAAGCAGTTTCATGCGCGTCAGAATGCTCATCGGTAACGACGGCGACATGGGTCCTCTACCTGAAGTAGGAGGGAGAGCTTGTGTGTGAGTGTGCGTGGAATTCGTTGACCTGCTTCTCCTGGTGAACAAAATATGTGGGACCAAGTTCAACGTGAAGCTCTGGTCCGATATTCTCGCATGATGGTTGCAATGTTTGGAGTAAGAAGGACGAAGCGGCGAGGCGGGCAGGAATGGCTGACACAACGGGAACCACCAACTGGAGTCATGAGCTGATAGAATCCGTGACTTACAGGATTCAGGCTCAGCTTTTGGGCCGTCCTGGATCGCGGTAGGGGCATGACTGGCTGGCAACGACCAATTCCGGAAGTTCTGAAACTCTATCTTGCATTTTTTAAAGATTGTTCTAGTACTGATTACACCTCCGCGCGTTATTGCCTGACAGGACTGTAGACTACTACCACAAGATAAGACAGAAAGTCGTAGAGCCATGATAGATAGGTCAATATACCTTCTAGCGGGGCCTCAAGTGTTCCCGATGGAACCCGCGCATTGTGGGGCCAAGCGAGTCCCAGCTAGATCATCAGCCTTTAAAGGCTTAATTCTCATTTATGGTTATCCTACGACTGATTTTTAGCTATCAGTGATCACCCGAGCCTGCCTTTTTACATATTTGCGCAGGAAAGGGAGTGCTTACAAAGACTAGGCAGACTTGGACGACTATTTCTGGCTTACTGGCCGTCATCAGCTAAGCCCTACCGCACCCAAAGCCTGGACGACATGACGATGGCCTATGAACCGGAAATGTCCACCCCACTTCCCTTGCTCGTCTCTTCCTCGCTCGTTTTACTGGCTGATATGCGGCTGCCTAAGAGGGTACGAGCACGTTCCGTGACTCGATCGATGAACCTCCCCACACCGTGGTCCCGCGCCAGTTATGTGCGTACACTGATTGGCTCCCCTGTATCCCGACGCAAGCACTTAAGGGAAGACCACTGTTACAGAGCCGGCTGTGTCGATTTCTTCCAAATATCTCGTTTGTGTTCGCTCTTGCTAAAGGAGTAAAAATCGACCAGTAACTCAGGAGATACGCTGCAGAGGAACACTAAATCCGAAGCTGGCAGCCCCGCAATGACCACGGATGCGGTGCCCAATCACTACTGTCCTAATGCACTGGCACGGTGTGCTGACCAATCAGGTCCCATCATTAAGATTGAGCGTCATTTTTGTTTTCGTTTATCGCAGTCAGCAGGGCGCAAGAGTTGAGCTGAGTCTGCAGAGAGCACTCAGCCGTACAATAGCTTTAAATCGGATCGTGCGCGTTTTCACTTTCAGAGAAGACCAGTCAAAAAGCGTTTGAAGGAAATAGCCTGACAGGGTCAATATATTTACTTACCAGGTCCCTAGGATTTTGAACTGGGTGACATAGTATCAGCCTCATTGACTAGACGGGTACTTTATCTGACGACACTGACGTGTTTTGAAGACAGAAGTTTGAGCTAAATGTTAACTCATGGTTTTATACTCCGAGGTCTAAACGGTTGTAAGCTGATAACTGTCAGTGAGTACTCTAAAGCTTAAAGCGAGTCCGCCACTGCAACTCCTGTATCGTGTTTTAGTAAGTATTGGTAGAAAAGACCGTTACCCTCCGACTCGGTAGCCGGTGTTTGGGCAATCAGCATTTGTAGCTAGTATATCGGCAAAAAGACGAGTTCAAAACGGCCGCTCTTGGTATACTTAATGGTAGCTAGGTAAGACCTTCATGAAACCTTACAAAACTGATGGCTAAACACTAGTTCTAGACGGAATCTGTTACGATTCGATCGCGAACTCAACCTATTCGTTGATGCTGTTACAGATCTACGAAGTACGTGGAGCTTGGTAGTCATCTGGCGGATTCTCTATGAATCACCTGAGAACTCTTGCTTGCAAAATCAGGTTCCTGTATCAGATTCGGTGGATTCCAGACGTTGCAGTAGGTTGGGTGGGTAAACTTCCATCAAATGTGATTAAACTCGCATCGTCCGGTGAGACCTCGTAGCTCAGGTGACTAGAGCGTCGGTTGTACTAAAGCCGTCCCTTGCTGTTGTGGATTCGAATCCAACCGAAGTACCAACTTTTTCACAGGTGGGTCAATATGAACTTAACATATCGCTTTTTTCATCTGGCATGTTTAGCGTCCCCAAGGAAACAACCATGAGAAGGACAGTTGTTCTTTTAAAATTTTATTATGGAGACATGGGGCGCAATTAATCCTTCATTGCTGTTCCTGATAAAACCTGAATAACCGCCTACTCACATTCTTCTGCCGTTCTCCCAGGGAGACCTGTTACACCGCTGATCGTATTTGGAACCTTCGGTACTCTAGGCGTGCTGGTACTGCTAGGCTTTTTCATTCTGCTGGCCTGCAGACGGCCAAGTGAATACGCGATGTTACTCAACGAATCTCGTGATGCGTAAGTTGTGCATTCTCTAAAACAGTTTTGCATCGAGAAACACCTGGGTAAACTTGGAGAAGGAGACACGATGGCTGGGACAAAAGCTTTATTAGCCTGACGTTCCGGGTTGCTGCTCGAACCCATCATCAGAGACAATAGCAGATACGAGTGGTTCATGTACAAGTGGCTGCAGAATTATAGGATGCAGGCGCCATGCTACTGCATACCTATGAATATTCACGGCTTCCTCCTCCCCTTCATCAGGGATCCTTGTACGTGGTGTGATGACAGTCTGATGGCCGATATTCGTGCCGTTAAGAGCCGCAATCTCATCACGTGCGTTGGATGTAGGTGTGATCGCTGATCGTGACTCCTTCTTCAAGGCTGCTTCTTGGGACTCGTCTCTTCGCTTCTATTGGCGTGGATGCACTTTTATGCCTTCTTATCTCGATGATCGCTTGGTCCATTGCAGGCAAAACCATCTTCTTTTTTTTCGCGTGTTGACTTTATTTGACACATATTTTCTACCCATGTGGTTTCTAGAGGGAAGAACGAGGAGGAAGATAGGTGAGCAAATTTTTAATTAACATGGCTTTTCTTTGATGTGTTTAGTGTCTCGGATAATACAGTAGGTGAGCTAACTCATGAAATGTCAACCGAAATACCAAAATGTGTTGTCTTTTCGAAAAGAGTAGTTAAATAGTGTTGTAAAACAGATCATCCTGCAGCATAATTCTATAATAATTCTTTTACCCAGGAATGCTGGCTTTCGAACCAACATCTTTCCGGCCATATGCAAAAACCACACTCTGAAAAAGTGACTACTTAATTAGCATGCATTTTTCTCATTGATTTTCGGTGCTCTTAAATATTTAATCATCTGTCATACAAAATATACATTCGGTAGAAAATTACGTCTTCTTCTTATTTTATACTCAAAGGAAGAATATCATTCGGTTTTACAAAAGTTTCTAATATTGAATTATTATAATACCATGAAAGCCAATATCCTGGCGTAACTGAATTATTATAGAATTATGCTGCAGGATGATTAGTTTTACAACCCTACTTAATTTAGCTTTTCGAAACGAGTGCGCATTTTGGAATTTAGGTTGACATTTCGTGAGTTAGCCCATCTTATGTACTTTCTTTTAGTTGTTAGTCTGTACGTGGTGGACCTCGCGTACCGACAGCTTGACCGTTGTTGCGACGGTGTCAACCGTGTGCTCCACAGCAAAGTGAAGCAGGCATGAGGACTTGCGCGCGAATTTGAAACTTGCGCGGCATCTCCCGCACTCTCTCCTCCCGCCCCACCTGGACCCGGTGTCAAGACAGAGTCAAGAAGACCGGAGAGGGGGGAGGGCGCAGATGGATGGCACGTTTGAGTCCGCGCCTTGGCATTCCACTGCACACCCTCTGGCCCACACACCATAGGAAAAGGTTTTTGACCAACAACAACAACAACAACAACAACAACAACAACAACAACAATGGGTAGGGGTGACAGGGGTCACAGAATGCTCGATGATTGCCGACAACCGAGTATTCCACCGCACCCCGAATGTTGACATTTGTTATGGCGCGCATTCCGACAACGCCTGCCAGGAGCCATTATTGCCCCCGTGTTGGTCCAGCTCATCTTCCACGTGGACCGTTTGGTGGGGGGGGGGGCAATACCGCGTAACACACATATCTAGACCACATATAAATTAAGCCCTCATCGCCTACTACACGTGCGAATCGTTCACCTCGCACGCAGGTGTTCTTTGTTGCAGTTTGACGCATGATTTAGGAGAGAGATAAGAGAGTGAGGTCGACGCCGAAAAATCCATCTCCACGAAAATCAACTCATTCCTTACTGTAATAAATCCGCCGCGTCTGAATTTACCACACGGCTTGGAAAGCTGCCACATGACGGAAGAGTTCGGTTTTCTGAGTAAACACTGCATAGACTCGGTCGCGTTCAACCCTCATCGCTATCGCGCATTCACCTCACGCATCGGCCTGGTCGGTCACCTGCGAATCCGCTGCACAGACCCTGACGAATCACTGCCTCTAGTGCCAGCGTACACTCGCCGTCATCGCCTCAACCGCGCACATTGTCTCCCCACCTTTGCATGGGCCTCTGCGCGAAATCGTCGCAGACTGCACCACGGGGCAACGGTATGACCCCACTTTACTGACGTCAGACTGTGGTTCACGTCATAGGGGGTTTTTATTTTGGCATCCATTTGCACTACACACACACTTCTCCATCACAAGATGCACCACACATGAACACCCTCAACATCACCCAACAACTCAGGTACCTCTCATGTAAGCGAGAAATGTGTCCTCCCACTCCTTCTCCACGTGACTCCCCTACTTCGTGTGAAATCTGAGCTGTCGACTCTCTTGTGTGAAACACAGGTCTGTGCCTATGGGGGGCCAGGTCGTATGTGTGGCACGCGCAGACAAGGTCCGTCAGCCACAGCGCCCATTTCTTGCACCCGGCTCGGACAATGGCCGGAGTCTGGCGATGATAATAGAGAGTGAGGCCGACTTCTCAGCGCACCTTCCTCACTAAAAACAGCCTGACGCTCATGAGGCTATCACGGTGCGTTGCAAGTCGTGGCTGCCAACTGCCGGGATAGCTCGGCCCTTGTGTGTTTGTGTGGAGTAGCGGACTGGTGGACCGCGAGTTAGAATGCAATGAATCCTTCTTAATGTGGCCTCTATGGCACTCCATAGGATTTGAGGCTGCCCCCCCTGTTCTCTTGTAGTGTGTACAATCTTGACCAGTATGAGCTGTGGAGCACAGAATGTGGTGGTACGCATAGGCGCGGGTGTACGCCGCGCCAGAAACCTGCGTCCTCTCTCGTCTCCGACCGTCTTGACTTTGTAACGACCCCCGGGTGCAGGTTCGGGAGGAGGAAGGAGTGCGGTAGATGCTGTGCAAGTCTACTATTGTGCTGTCCCTGGTCTCACCCTGCTGTGGAGCGCACAGTAGACGTCCTCGGCAATGAACTGCCACAATATTGTGTTAACTTCTAATCGTTGATTTTTCACTCCGTTTTTTCTTTGCAACTTTTGAAGCACGATGCAGGAGAGTGAATGGTCCCATTTGGAAGGCACCTCAGAAAACGCGTTAGGTAGGCGGCCCTCTGTGTTTTCTTATATAACTACGCAAAATCAAGAAGAATTTGCCTGTGATAAGCACAGGCAAGGTGTTGTTTTGTTTTACTGATAGCTTCAAATGTCTCATTACATCCCGCCTGCTTCCTGTCCTGCGTGTTGTCCACCGGTTAAACCCCCTCTACCACCATTCAAGGTATGACACGGTCCAAAGGCTACCTCAAGCTGTCTGGGGTCTTACACCCTACCGTTGCCCTGGGAAACTTTTAGGTTTTTTTGCATAACGTTTACACATCACGTTTGAAGTTCAAAAAACTCTATGAAGAAAACATTTTTGAAAGCTTTTAGACCAGTCAGAGTAAAGTACGTGAGTAGGACTTCGACTCCTTCCTATGACAACCAGCGGTAAGTCCAACTTTGAACGTGGTAAGCAGAAACATCTCGTACGAACACGTAAATAGCATCACTTGCTTCGTCTAGTGTAAAATAATGTAGCTGACTTTTGATGCTAGAGTGACTTAGTCAACGTCAGGCACTTTAGACTGCACCTGACAAGGCTGTGTCTGCTGAGTTTCTTTCACGTGAACCTATAAGGCTTCTTCACTTACAAAAACATAATTTCCGCCAGATTTCTGACTTTAACTGAGATTAATTTTTACATGGCGTTATTTTAACCCAAATGAACGCGACGTAACTTATACTGTCGAAAAGTCGGTTGACAAATATGTGTTCAGTAACTCATCAACAGGCCAATGCATTTACATGGGTAATGACCTTTTTAATTATGGACAGGTTATAAATGCATCGTAAGGTTAGTCAGAATCCATGTTCCCACGCCGCCCGTATGACGGAGTCAGCGTGTTGAGGACGCTGGAGTTGGGATGGGAGGGAGGAAAGACATGGGTTTCGGTAAGATTGTGAGTTCTGAATGCATGTTAAACACGCGGAGGGTGTGTGACTGTTCTTAGGGCGTCGGGACGGCGTGCGATCAACACCGGGAGATGGACGGCTTGTGTCAACGTCTTCTGAAAACAGAGCGATGGGCCGGACGGCGTGCGATCAGCACCAGAATTCGGACAGGGAAGACGAACTGCTAGTACCAACCCCTTCTGACAACAGAGCGCTGGGTTCGCTAGTTGAATGGCCACTGCTTCGGCTGTGGCAAGCTGCGTTTATACAGGTCTTTAGAGTAGTGTGCCGGCGCCTTGTAGATAACTTAAGACTTTTTTAGCTTCTGCTTGGTGGTTCGTATCGATTAGATGTGCGAAAAAGGAACTTGAAATCGATCGAGTTTCCCCTCCACCTATCCAGGCAGGCATGTGTTCGCGTACCCTCTTTTCCAAACGCCTCGCTGTACGGCCAATATATCGCGCTCCGTAGGAGCAGGTGAATGAATAAATACACATAGGGGGGGGCAAAGGCCGACTGCTGTTACAGGCCACTTAGTGTGCTATGAAGGTCCCAGTTTGACAAACTATGTGAAGATAATAAAAAACTACAAAGTATTGCATTTAGTTGATAGTCCTTTTGTCTGAAATAGACTAATAAGTTTGATGGACGTAGGAGTTACTACGTTATTTATGGTGGATTGGTCACTGCAATATTCAAAATTTGTTGCATTGGAAAGTGTTTTATTGCAGGGACTAAAATGATTCTCAAACCGTAGGCGGAGTGGCTGGTTTGTGGTCTAAAAAAATAAATTATTGTCGTGAGGTGCATCGGAATCATACGCCCTTTGAGCAGTGAATGGGAGCATTATTCCTCAACGTCATCTTGTCCATTTGCCGTCGGTTAATGACATTGTAACCGAAGGCATCTTTGACGGTATGGATAAACACTTTGCTATTTATGGCGTCTGTCAGTTTCTTCGTTAGTTGATGGCTACTCAGTCGTCGGGAGTTCTTGAAAGTTGCAACCAGTACATTCTCTTCTCGTGGGTAGTTCTTACAGGACGACTTCGGAGGGCTGTCGAAAAATAAGACCTCATCAGAAAAGTAAATGCCCTATCCGATGATAGCCTGTGATCAATATGTTCCTCAGAAAATGAAAAGGATTGGGCCTAATTAGTTCCCTACTTAAAATGACTTTGTCACGACCTTTCGATAAGAGATAACATTGACAAGTGCCCTTTATTAATAGTTCTTATGTCTGACGAACAAGATCGTCGTTCATCTTGCCTGTAGACCGTTTTGTTCCATATTGATTATTTCTAGGCATACGTCTATCTTTAAAAATTCGCCAGTATTGCCTGAATAATATTGAAAATATTCCCTTACATCGTACACGGCAAGCATTCCGCTGCTGCTGTCCTTATGCGCTCAACGTCTACGACCGAAGCAAACTACCTCGGCGCCTTTGTCATCCGTCATCTCACGGGCGCTGTATGCATTATAATCTTACAATTCCAAAAAATATTAATGAGAAGTTAATTTCAGACGCATTATTTTTGAATTAATCCCAAAATGTCAATGAACGGTTAAATTGAAGAAACAAACACAGGCAACGTCAGGGAATCTATCGAGGCATCAAATTACTCATGTTTTCGTCAGACAGAGACAGAAACCTCGGCGAAACCCGCGTGTTTGCGATTGCTGCTAAGGCCTACTTTGGGAGTACGATATAACCGCGCCATTTATTTGTTTTCGTCTTTTATCGGTCATTGTGGTGGGAAAAAAAGTGGTGCTAAACTAGTTTATTACTGCGTTTAACGACGAAGGCGCCACCAATTTGCACATCAACACTCTTAAAGCTGAAATCGCCTCTCGTTTTTATGAGAATAGCACGATTTCTCAAATGTGACCTCACCTGATTTTCAAGCATCCAAACTCAGATGCTCCCATTCAGAAGACGCTAATTGGAAACGCGCACTTGCAAGTGGTTTTAGCCTGTGATACACACAACAACAAAGGAAATTACGTCACCAAAGACCTCTTTGTCAATGAAAGCCATTCCTCTCCTCAAATTAATCTAATAGACATATAATGTCAACACTACATGTACGTCATACTACTCAATCAAGTCTTCGCTACGAATACTATGATTTGTGCCATCACCTGCATATTAGTCATTCAGAGACCTCGGGGGTAGTCGCATTGAAGACAGCGGGGCGTAATGTAGGCAGAGTAACATTACCGGCAAGCACAAGGGTGACTGGAGCAGCCATTTCCGGCTTACCAGCCGTCGCCAGCCAGCCATATTCAACCCCCAGGTGTGCAATCCCTGTGGCTCAAACTAGCGACCTGAAAGTTAGGAGTCCAACACGCTCAGCCACTGAACCACGGGCACATTGTCCTGTCGGGTTGGATCGGAAATATACTATGGAAGGGGACGCTCACCGATCGTTCTTGCGTAACTGACTAGTTTCGTTGTGCCTTACGGGCTCTCTCTCTCTCGATTTCAACCAGCAGCTGCGAAGCGGCGCCTGATATATATATATATATATATAATGTTAGGGGGCGCTCACCGATCGTTCATACGGAACTCACTCGTTCCGTTGTGCCTTAAGAGCTCTCTCTCGAGCCCAACCAGCAGCCG